GACCAGTGTGCTCACAGCGCTCACTGGCTGAGCACAGTGCGGCCAGTCTCAAAAAGGACAAAAAATAAATAAATAAATAAATAAATAAATTGTATGCAGGGCTGGCTGTTTAGCTCAGTTAGGTAGAGCATGGTGTTGTAACACAAAGGTCAAGGGTTCGTATCCCCATACCAGCCAGCTGTCTGCCTAACTAACTAAATAAATATATATATATACACACACATATGTGCATTTATACATATATTAACTCGTATCTGTGCTATAACATGTCTTGTCATTATGGCTTACCAGTTTTTACTTTTACTTTTACTCAATGGATTATAAATTTAGTAATTTGGGGATTAATTGTATAAATTGTTAAATAATGGAAATGTAATTTGTTTTAAAATAAGCTGTCTACATTGTTGGGTGGGGGGGAAGTGAGGGAGGAGGGAGGGAGGTTTCGGTAATGGGCCACAATAATCAACCACATTGTATATGGACAAAATAAAAATTTAAAGAAAAAAAAATTGATGACAAGACAAAAGTAAAAAAATAAAATAAAATAAGCTGTCTAGGAAAACTGGTTTCATTATGTATTCTTAAACAATTTTAAAATTAATAAAAATCAGTTCACACTTAATGCGACATGTTAATTTAAGAAAAAATTTAATCTCCAGTTAGAAATCTAAATAAAAATAAAAATGCCCTTTGCTGCAGTAGTTCAGTTGTTTAAAAATATTAAATCTGATGTAAATGACTTACTAAAAAAGTGAGCCTATCCCAAAAAGAAAAATTAACTGTCTCTTTGGAAATAAATTGTAAAATTGCAAAATTGCATTGTAGAATTTGGCTAATGATTAACTTTGAGGCCTATGTATTTGAACTTGAAAGTGTTTATATTGACTGGTAATATCTTTCTAAATATAGTTTAGCCTGGCCAGTTAGCTCAGTTGGTTAGAGCACAGTGTTATAACACCTAGGTCAAGGGTTCGGATCCCTGTACCAGCCAGCTGCAAAAATATATATATGTGTATATATATGTATATATGTTTATAGTTTGTTGGTTTAATTCCTTTGACTTTATCACCATCCTCAGCAAGTAGGGAAAGGTTTTTTTTATTTTCAGTATTGACTATTGTGGTAATTCTGTAGGACTATTCTACATAGTATATTTGTCAAAGTGTTTTTTTAAGTAAGAATACACACATTCTGTATGAATTAGAGAATTATATGTGTTTTTCAACCAATTTATTTTTCTGGCTTTGAACCTAGTTTCTATTCTATGAAGGATCCCTTTACCTTCCATATTCTGACCTTTCTATAAGATTATTGTCTATTAGGGCATTGAACTAAAGAGAGGGGAAGAAGCTCTATAATGTGAATACTTTTTAAAAAGCATTCATCATTAGCTAATTTTTAAAAATCTAACAAACTATTTTCATTGGAATTTGGATTAGACTGTATGCCATTTCAAAACAAGAAAAGAATTAGCGTCAAATTTCAGATTGAGGGCTGGCCCGGTGGCACACTGCTACAGTGCGCCGCTTGGGAGCGCGGTGGCGCTCCC